CGTTCTATGCCGCGTTGTGATTCACATGGTATATTTGGTTGCTCAAAACCATTACCGAGTGAATGGGAAATTGAAGCCAAAGTGTGCTCCATAGAAATTGAGTTTTGGTGGAAATTCCTTAAGGTTGTAAAATGACTTGTCCCACATTGATTTGGTAGGAAGTTTTGAATGGGTTTATAAGGCTTGGGTTTGGTACTTGGGGTGTGCCCCAAGGGGTACCCAAGTGTTTTAGAGGGAAAGGTTATGGGCAAAATGGCCTAGGCCCATTTGACCCAAAAAATCACCACACGCGCCCCTATCTGGGCAAGCTAGGCCTAGGTGCGTGGTGTGAGGTTGGGCTTGTTCGGCCCAATACTAATCTTTTTGGGCCAAAAACATAATAAAATCCAAAATTCAAATTAAACCGAAAATAAACTAGTTTGGTTTTACTGTGCCCTTCCCAAAATAAACTAGTCTGGTTTTTAATGTACATCCAAACAGGCCCTTCCCATTTTTGTATCTGTTTAAATTATGAACCCAACAGATTCAAATCTATTTGAATTCAAAACCAATAGCCACCTTTACATCTATAAATAGACTAGCCTCCCATTTGGATTTTACTCTAATTTTTCGTACTCCATCCTCTGCTATAAATCTCTGCATTTTGCTGCATTTAATTTCTGAAAAAAAGAGTGTAAACACTTAGTGTATTCGTGAGGCAAACAATTTGTAGTGCTGCTATTGTTTGTAGTCGATCATTTCATCCTGGGAGATAGACGTTCAAATTCTGAAAGCACCGTGGAGAGGACGAATCTGTCTTAAGACACAATGTCAAACACTGGATTTGATCAGATTATAATTTGACGAAATTAAATCAAGTAAGTTATTTAATTTATTTTCAGTGTTATTATTGTTAATTTAAATCAGATTTTAATTTTGTTTTTGTAACAAAATAAAATCTGTTTTTATTTATTTATTTTTATTTCGAGTTTGATTTTTGTAATCAAACAAATTCTCTCATTTCCTTTATTTCTTTATATTCTAGTTGTTGTTTAGTACACAACAGAATTTAATTTATTTAAATACAGTTAAGATTGTCCTACACATTGTACTTGAAAGCTTCAAGAACCTTTCAACAATGCTTTCCTGCCAACACATTTATAATATGAGTGTTCAAATTGACCCAATTCAATTCATATGTGGAAGCTGCAAGCAGCTTTTTTCTGTCATTGACTGTATCAGGATTTACCACAATCTAACAATGTGATTGTTCACAGTTTCTACTTTCAACTAGAATCCCTGAAAAGTTTCTCCTAATTTTTCTTTCTAGACAAACTACATCATCCACATCATGGTCTATCTCTTCTAATGAAGGACAAATAACAGATTCTTCCAAAATTACACACTTCAATGAACATTGAACTGCCACAAATAAAATCATCTCAAACAAGCCTTGAGATCATCTGCTTGAGTTATGATATCTTAAATAATGTCATTTCGATATGTTTGAAAAGATTTTGAGGGTGGCAATCCAAAGGGCGGGCTACCTTTCATAAAAAAAAAATCTCAGAGGGATTTCAGTGTTAACAAGAGAATGAAATTTATTGACGTTGAAGGACAAATAACAGATTCTACCAAAATGACACACTTCAATGAACATTGAACTGCCACAAATAAAATCATCTCAAACAAGCCTTGAGATCATCTGCTTGAGTTATGGTATCTTAAATAATGTCATTTCGATATGTTTGAAAAGATTTTGAGGGTGGCAATCCAAAGGGCGGGCTGCCTTTCATTAAAAAAAAATCTCACAGGGAATGATTCATGCTAGTGGATTTAATTATTAGTTATTTCAGTGTTAACAAGAGAACGAAATTTATTGACGTTCTAGAAGGTACACATTCTTCAAAATTGCTTACAATCTAAGATTATAGATAATCTGAATTAGATGTGCAAGGACAAAATCTCCACTGCTTGGTAAAGAAGACACTCTTACAAATGGGATCAAAACTCATAAGATCGGTGTGTACCCATAAGAAAAATTAACATTCTTCAAATGATCGCTACTTACAGCTATCCCAACTTTAACCAAACCAAGCCTTAAGTCCCATCAAATGAGGTCGGCTACATCAATCCTTCTTCTCTACTCCCAACTTTATTAATCAAAATACCCTTCCAGAGCTTTTAAATGGTGATGTTATTCTTCATGGTGATTTTGTATAATAAGAAAATTTTGCATTACATACAAAAGACATAACTTCAAAGAACTAACCTCAACAAACTAAACTCTATGTATCAACAACTAAATTATCGAAGGAAAAGATCAGGAACAGGTTTAACAAATAAGATGCATTAAAATGCACTAGTAGACATCGAAAGCCAAGCATACACTACAAGAAAATACACCTTTCCTTTTTTAGTCGCCAAAGGTCAAATTTTCACTTTTCCCGACAAAAACTTTTAGTCGCCACTGTTGTCGCGAATTCATGGTCGCCCATTCCTTTGGCGACTAAAAACCTGTTAGTCGCCAATTCACAGGTCTTCAGCGACGAAACAAATTATCGCCAAATGCAATTTCATTTTTTGAAATTATACATTTAGCGACTAAATTTTTAGTCGCCAATAGTGATTTTTATTTATTTATTATTTAAACATTTCCCGACTAAGCTTTTCGTCGCCAAAAGGTATACCTTTCGGCGACCAACGCCTTTAGTCGCCAAAACCGTATTTAACAAAAAAAAAAAAAGTTGCCTCTGCTGGATGTCCCAAGGTTCGAACCTATGTTCCCAACACTTGCATCCCACTACGCCTTTACCAACACTTGCTCCCCCACTACGCCACTCCCAAATCACATGAATAATATTGCAACAAATATTATTTATATACTATATTCACTGGTATTAATACAAAATTGTATATATGAAAATAATTTTTTTTATTTAATATATTTTATGTAAAAAATAAAATATTTACAAAAAAAAAATAGGGTAAGCACTTTTGGCGACTAAATCTGAATTTTAGTCGCCAATACTCCATTTTTTGGCTACTAATTTCTTTTCTGTCGCTAAAACAGTTACAACCCGCCTAAGGCTAGCACATTTGGCGACTAAACTCAATTTTGGTCGCCAAAACCTCTACTTTGGGCGACTAAAATGCATTTTAGTCGGCAATTCTTGACCTTTAGCTACTAATTTTTTTTTTGTAGCCAAAAAACATCACTTTCAGTGACTAAATTGTTTTTAGTCGGCAAAACTGCTATAATCAGCGACTAAACTTGTTTTTTGTCGCCAAAACCATAACTTTTCGCTACTAAATTATTTTAGTCGCAAAAAACCCTGACTTTTGGCTACTAAACAAACTTTAGTCGCTAAAAACCCTATATTCGGCGACTAAACTTCCTTTTAGTCGCTAAAACCCTTATGTTTGGCGACTAATTCCATTTTAGTCGCCATTTCATGCACTTTCAGCGACGAATTTTTCTTTTTTAGTCGCCATTTGTGTTTTTTGTTGTAGTGATAATAAGAAAACTGTGACACCATCTTAAAAATTCAATAATATTTGTAGTATTGCAAAGTAAGATAGACCTGAGAAAAGTACCCTTGAAAAGCAGATCCATATAAAGGTGTTAGATCAACCTCATAATAACTTCGTTGCTGCCAAAAGAGGGCCTGCGTAGATAAGAGTAAAAAATATTAGACCACTTTCATTGCCAAAAAAACCAAAACACAACAAAAAACAAAAACCAAGTTTTGATGGAAGTAAGAAATAAACAATATAAAGCAAATGGATGCATTTAGGAACTAGTGACCAAACAAAAATAAACTGATTCTAAAACAGAAGACAAAATTTTCCTAGTGAAGATATTATCTTCATTAACTAAGAGCACAATAACAAAGGGCAAAAGCAGTGATATAATTCAATGTATTTTACCCAAAATTACAAATAATTCAATGACCTAATATTGTTTTTAGTCCCCTTTTTGCTTGTTAATTAAGCTCAAGTAAAACAACAGCACAAAAAAGTTCCTGATTTTTTGATCCAGGACTTTGTCCTAGTAAAATGCAGCGTGCGCTACAATTTGCATACAAATAGGTGTAAGACTAATTCGATCACTATTTAATTGGATAGATTCCAAAAGGTCAGCTTACATTTAAAAACTGAATTATTTTTATTTTTATTTTTGATAAAAAAATAATTAAAAAAAATACTGAAATTGAATTCTTTTGACAAGAAATAGGAGGTTAATCAACTACAATTGAGGTCGATCAAATTTCACAAATCATTCTTAACCTTCACTTTATCACAGGGGACATGATAGTGATTAGCCCTACAAGTGCTTCAACTCATTTGACTTACCTTATTTGCAATCTCAACATACAAATATTCATCACTGAACTGTGCCATATGAATTCTGCAGGAGCAATCAACCTTAAACATCAAAACCCAAACAAATGACACATAACAAAGCACACACATATTAATCTTTGCAACAAATATGATAAAACACAGTGAAACAAATATATGTAGGCACTCCTAGGGGCCCTTGCTACACTTTGGGTTCAGTCAAACCCCATCCCCACTCTATACATAAGCCGCTAACAAATAAATAAATAAACAACACCTACCCTCCCACTTATAGTTCACAGTGAAAATTTAAAAACTGTTCCTGACATAAATATAAAAGAAAAACACAAAAACAACAATAACTAACATACTTAACAACCTAGGCAAGGCGTAAAGCTAGAATCCTGACAACTAACATGGTTGCTTTTGAATTGAGTTTCTTCCATCTCTTATAGAATTTCCCATATGTTCCGTGCATGATATTTGCACCATAACGTAAGCAGAAAAGTCAAAGCACATTAGTTCACGGAGGGAAGTCAAGCTAGTAACTAAAAGTCTTCTAATTTAATACAGGAGATTAAGGGAGTATGACAATGAGAACCATTAAACATTTTTCCATGGTATTGTGTGGGTACAAAAATCATTAAGATCATAGAAAATAAGACATGTACAGTCACCTTCCAATCGTAGGAAACATCTTTCCGTTAGGAACAAGGAACCGATCCCTTGCAATTACATAGGTCTCCAGCATTCTTTCATTGACTAACAAGGTCCCTAAAGGAAGAAAAACATATTCTAAATGAGACTTCATTTTGTGCATAAAAAACAATAGATAATCTCCTCATCACTATTAATCGAATAGATTGTCCAACATGCAGACTGGGCGACTGTGCCAGTCTAAAATACCACAATGAGTCACTTTTTTAATAGATATCTTTCCCAATTTTCACTTGTGTCCAAGCATATGCTAACTTCATGCCAATTCTATAATGTTACAAAAGTGTCTCCATTACTTAACCAGAAAAGAGGGTTAAAAACACACACACACACACACTTTGTAACATAACATTGATGGTGTGACCAAATTGCATAGTAATAATAATATAAAAAACAACCATGGCATTATATATTTAGTATCACAGAAAATGCCATAGTTAACTAGAATTTATCAATTACACACATGCCATTATAAGCTTACCCATAGGCTCCGAGATCAAAATATCTGCTTTCTCAGGCAATTCAACTTCTTCAACTTTACCCTTGACTACCTATAATTTAAGTGAAAACATGCCCCCAAAAAGAATAAGAAACAGTGTACTAACTCCATTAACATTTAAGCTGAAATGTAAGAAAACAAAAAATTGCACCGTAATTCTTTGAGCCAACAATGGGTTCCCAGCAATAAGTTTGCGGGCATATTTTGCCATTTCAGATGCTTCCACTGCATAAACATGTTTAGCACCAGCCTGATATGAGAAAAAAAGTGAGGCAAAGAAAAACAGAGGATGGAGTTGGGATAGAATTCTAGAAGACCAACAAACAAGGATAAATCTATTATGTCAGTATATTTTCATGCACAAACACAGACAAAACATAGGCAATCTGAGCTGTGAAGACCCAATTTTTTTAAAAAAAAATAGTCAGTGCAGAATTTAAAATTTGAGTTTAAGTGCTCGGACCATGATTTGAGAAAATAAAAAATAGTAAAAGAAAAGAAAAGAAAAGATAGAGAGATCAGGATCAGGATGTGTGGGGATGGAATATATTCTTTAGAGAGAAAAAGCTGGGACGAGAGTGAGTGGGAAGGGTTTTGTTTAAGATATCTCCATCTGGCCACTCATTGACTTGCACCACTGTTAATGATAAACATAACATGACTCAAGTGGCTGAACCTTCTCTCTCTCTGGGTCAGTACGCATGAGCTGATTTGGGTTGTTGGAGAACCAGTCCAGGTGTTAGTGGAGTTGGCAAATCGGTGTGGGTCTATTAGAAAACAAACACACAAGCACCCGAGCTCCGCGAAAACAAACACTCGACGAGTCCCGGATCTCTGTGAGTGGGAAAAATCGGGAGAGCTCGTAAACCCGACGAACCAACGATGTCGACGCTACAATTGATCTTCCTCACTGCAATCCCATTTCTCGCCACACTCTGCAGCTCCTTCTCTCCCGAACACCCCACCGATCCTCGAATTCTCGTCTTGCTCGATGACCTCGCCATCAGATCTTCGCACTCCATCTTCCTCAATTCTCTCCAATCTCGCGGCTTCGACCTTGATTTCAAACTCGCCGACGATCCCAAGATCTCCTTACACAGATACAGCCAGTACTTGTACGACGGATTGATCCTCTTCTCTCCAACGGTCGAGCGTTTCGGGGGATCCATTGATTTGGCAGCTATTATGGATTTCGTCGATGCTGGTCATGATTTGATTATGGGGGCTAATTCTTCCGCCTCTAATCTAATTCGAGAGATTGCCACCGAGTGCGGAGTTGATTTTGATGAGGATCCGGGAGCTATGGTTATTGATCACATCAGCTATGCAGTTTCAGACACAGATGGTAATCTTACATTGATTGCTAGTGCTGAATTCATTCAGTCTGAAGTGCTTTGGGGAAGCAAGAAAATCGAGGCTCCAGTACTCCTTTGGGGAATTGGTCATTCATCAAATACTACAATTATGTGTTGGGTCTCTTGGATGGTAATTGTACTGCTGAGCCTTCGTTTAGATTGGATATGGTGCATTTCCTTCGAGCATTGTGGAGTATCTTTGGAGAGCAAAACAACCATATAATGTGTCTGTTACTGCATAAGTTTCTGCATGTGCAGCACTGAAGAATCCGGCCTATCTCGAGAAGGTTAAAGTGGCTTTGGTGCAAGAACGTGAGAGACTCTTTAAGCTTTTAAAAGAAGTACCATTTCTCAATCCATATTGGACATACTCTAATTTCATTCTTTGTGAGGTTACATCTGGAATGGATGCTAAGAAATCGAAGTTCTTGAGGCCAAAGTGAACAGCTTGATGAGAGCAACATTTTGATCGGCGTAGATCAAAATTCGACAAAATCGAAAATTTAGATTTTTGCTTGTTTCCTCTTTTAGCTTGAGGTAGAGATTTTTCCTACACTTCTTTATACACTTTTACTTGATTATATGGAGCTTAGAGTTGTATATAATTTAATTAGAATTTTTGAAAAATTTGTGATTTATTTGCTAAAAAAGGAAATTTTGAGAAAAATAAAGAGTTGATACCCAAATTGTGAAAGTGTAAACTTGGAACATGTTTGTAGGGTTATGAAAGAACTATGTTTTAAATTTGAACAAAAAGGGACTTCGATTCGATTGGTTTTGAAATTTTTACTAGTTTGCGACCAAAAGAACATTTTTAAAGAAAACAAAGGAATTATGCTAAACTTTTGGAGCTTTTGATCAAAATAAGATGTCATAGTTGAATAATGCTTGGAGAATGAGTTTAGAAAGAAAATGATATTTTCTTAGGCATCAACGGTATTATTTTGCTTAATGTACCTGTTGGAACAAAACCGATACGGTTAGAAATGGACCTTGAGAGGTTACCGGACGTGATTGTGATATGAAAACTAGTGTAGTTGTTCATATTTGATGAACTGTGGAATAGATTGTATTTATTGAAAATTTTGGAATTTAATTGTTTAAATGTCTGTTTAGAAATATCTATTTTGGGCTATCAGTGGAGAATAACCATGATTGTTGTCGAAATGCATGAGACTTAGGCAAATTGAACCACATTCCTCATTTGTTGCATTAGACATTGCATTACATTCATTTCATTGGAAATGTATCTGTTTTTGAGAAATGTTTGAAAATGTATTTGTTTGCGAAAAGATGAATACTTGGTGAATCTAGATAACGGGTGTAGAACCGTGTGGTTAGGTGTCAAGCCTTCCAGTTTATTGGTAAAAATGACAGTAGTAGTACATTAGGGCCTACTTGCAAACACTCACCTAGAGATTCACAGAGTCTGTATTCATGTAACAGATATGGTTTAAAATGGAAATGGTTTTATATCTGTTGTTGCATCTCAGCATTGCATGCTTTATAAAAAGAGAGATAAATTGTTTTATCATGAGCATACTCCTCTTTAGTCTTGTCATGGTTCATGTGTTGTGTAGTATATCTCTACTGGGCTGTGGCTCACCCTATAAGGGAAACCATTTCAGGTATAGGTGCTATGCCTCTGCCAAGGCATTGACTTGGGAGGACTTGGAGCTGAGGCTTCATTTTTGTTTTATTGTTATTTGTTGACTGTAAGCCTATGACTGTATTTGCGTTGAGTTGAAACTCCATTTTGTGTAACCAAGAATGTTCTTGGATAAATTTATAAGCCTGTAGGACACTTATTATCTGTTTGGCTTCCATTTCATACTTGTTGTAAAATGTATGCTTGGGATTGGAACTGGGGCATTGAGATGTGAATGGCATGTACTTGGCATTTTGGATTTAATAGAAATGGATGTATAGAATAGTTAGCTAGATATATGTGTTTGTCTATCAGGTGGGTTTGTTGTATAAATAGATATACCTTATCCAATTTTCAGGGCGTTACATGAGCAGCAAATAACGACAGAATACTGCTACCAGCACCAACATCCACACCCACACGACCAACAAAATCAGTGCAATTCTCAATGACTGCAGCATAATAAGTTCCTGAAACAAGCATGTTTATCATGTCACTCACACATGCACCTTGTGATCTATAACTACTCAGTATAGACATGCATTTCTTTACCATTAAGAAAAACACGAATGTTTGACAAGATACAAAGCATTTTACCAGCAGCACAATGGTACATATGCCTTTAACAAAGAATTTTTTATTAGAAACACAGAAGGCAAACACCTACAACAAGAAGCAATTTTGTAGTACTTGTTGATCATTGGCGGATAAACACAATTTTTTTTTGGTAAATCGACACATGCTAGGCACGCGTCATCTTGCTGAAAACAAATTTTTAGCGACCAAACTTTTGGTTGCCAAAGATAAAAAGTAAAATTTTGTTTTTCATTTGGCGACTAAATAATTTTAGTACCCAAAAGTAACTACACAGCGACTAAAATATTAGTTGGTCATTGAAAATAAGTTTTTGGCTACCAAACTTTTGGTCGCCAAAGATAAAAAGCAAATTTTTGTTTTTCATTCGGCAACTAAATAATTTTAGTAGCCAAAAGTAACTACACAGCGACTTAAATATTAGTTGGTTGCTAAAAATAAGTTTTTAGCTACTAAACTTTTGATCATTAAAGATAAAAAGTAAATTTTTATTTTTCATTCGGCGACTAAATAATTTTAGTAGCCAAAAGTAACTATACAGCGACTAAAAATTTTTTTTTGTTGCCAATTGTGGCATATTTAGCGACTAAAATTTTTTTTAGTCACCGATTGTGGAAGTTTTAGTGGCTACATTTTTTTTAGTCGCCAATAATCAATATACCCCAACTAAAAAAAATTAGTAGCTAACTCTTGTATTTTTGCCGACTAATTTAATTTTTGGTCGCCAATTCCACAACTTTTGGTGACTAAATTTTTTTTAGTCGCCAAAAGTGTAATTTCTTGTAGTGACACTTCCATCTACCGTCACTGTATCGCATCTCTTTACTATTGTCTCTGTTGGTCTCCATTGTATATAATGAAACCATCTCAATCTATTCTCCCTCAACATATCTTCTATCAGTACTACTTCTACCAATTCTCGAATATACTCATTCCTAATTATGTATTTTCTAGTCTTGCTACACATCTACCTAAGCATCGTCATCTCAACAACACTCATCTTATCTACATGTTGTTTCTTAGTTGTCCAACATTTTATCCCATACAACATCGCTGGTCTAATAGTCGTTTTATAGAACTTCTCTTAATTCAACTTGAGGTTTGAAAACATTTTAGTTTGCTCTTTTGTATGGCATATTTTTCATTTATTTTTCCCCTTATTAGATCATTCAACGGTTTGCAATTGTTGATTTGTCAAATTTCTATTTTGATGCTGCCAAAGATCAACTTTATGTTGGATACGTTACTTCGCATCATAAAGAACTATATCTTTAGGTACTTCTTTTCTTACTTTACATCATAAAGAACTAAATAATTCATTGTGTGTGATTCCTTTACCACCTAGCTATCATTCTACATTTTTTGGCACGAGGGATGTTGCAATATTGATGGTTAATGAATTTAGATTCTGTTTGCCATGTAGGTTTTCTGCATTCAATGTTTTATGATTTTCAATTGTCAACCTAGTATGGGGCACCCTATTTCTCATTTTCCCTTATTGGCCTCTGCACTTTTGCTAAAATGTTGATTCTGCTACACCACATAATTGATTTATAAAGAAAAGTGATGGCTTATGTGTACATTGAATTCCTGACCCAATACTTCCAGCTCCAATAATGTTGTGAAGTGTATTTTTTCCCCTCCTATTAATACCCAATACTTAACTAATTTCTGTTCATTATTAAGGTGGTTAATTCTTTTGAAACTGTTGGTTAATTCACTTTGATCCCTTGCATTTCAAAATGTCACGTGTATTATGCCATTTAAAGGAATACCACGAGTATCATGTATGAAAAATGTAAAATTATCATCTTAATATTTCAGTTTTGGTTGAGCTTGGGACATTTCCGTTCAATTTAACTGCTTGACAAAAGTAACTTATATAAGTTGAAAAAAAATTGATTATCTAAAGGTTAGGGAAAATTGTACTTTTAACTTTTTCTTTCTAATTATCAACTTACAACTTGAGAAAAGTTGTGCCGCCCGATGTTTATCTTTAATTTTTTTCAGGGGCTCTACAAGTTTTACAAGGAGAAGTTGTCAAACAGTTCTTGCAGCACATCTGCTTTCCATTGTGAGGGTAATTGCTCCAATACTTACCTCATTTGGCTGAGGATGTTTGGCAGAATCTTCCTTTTCAGTACAATACTGAAGATGGTTCAATTGCTAAATTTGTTTTTGAGTCAAGATAGCCGGTATTGAGCGAAAGATGGCTGGCTTTCCCTCACAGAGAAATCGATTTGTGGGCAAATATTCTTGAGGTAATTTCTCTGTTCTTGAACTGAAGATTAACTAAATAACCTAAGATGACTATTTGTGCAGTTCAAGTGTGTTCTTATTTACAAATAAAATATGTTCGTTTTCATTAGTGGATGACATTGGCTTAAGATATTGTTGCATATCTTTATCTATGAGCAAATCATTTGCACAAGAAAGGTACTATAAGTATGTTTTGTGCAACATGAATTTTTTTCTTCTTCCAAATTTTAGTACTTTGACCAGCTACAAACTGAGGTGAATAAAGTCCTGGAGGTTGCTCGTACCAAGAAGTTTTTTTTTTTTTTGGATAAGTAAGTCATATTATAACTAAAAAAGAAAAATATACAATGAAGTTCAACACACAGCTTTTGATGGGAGCACAAAAATAAACAAAATAAACTACTCCATCAAAAAACAAACTAAGCTAATAGAAAACAAGCACAACAATCCCAACAAAACAAGGATTCAGAATTTCCTTCTAGCATTCTTCAAGTCATGAAGTTTCGCTTTAAGTTTTCTTCTGTTATCCTCTTTTGAAGTCTCCCCATAATTAGGATCACTTGGAGATGGACTCCCTCTATTTCTCAACTCTTGACTTGAATCTCCATTTCCTAACTCGTCCATATCATACGATTCAAGGACATCAAAGGCATTAGATGTTGAGGGGATAGAAGACTGCATCTTGGCCAAAAGTCTTACAACCATCACACCTTTGGGGCTTCCATGGTACCTCAACTTGAATCTCATATGAGTCACCATAATCAAGATTTATTTTGAAAGACTTAGGGATTTCTTTATTTGCTGACACTTCAATATAAATTCTCGCACGTCAATACCAAGAAGTTGATTGGTTCTCTAGTCTAGAAGCAAAGGTCTATCTTCACACCTTGGATGACAGCTTGGCCACAAAATTAAATGAGATGTGTGAAGTCAAATTTAAATAATGTCGTGCAACTCAAATCTACTAGTCCATTTGCCTTATCCCTCTGCTGTCAGGTAATTTATGTTCGGTTTGATTTTCAATTTTTTTTTTTTTTTGAAAAATTAAAAATTAATTTGATGAAAGAAAAATTAAATAAAAAACAATTCACTTTGCTTGGTTCCACTTTTCCAAAAACACTTAAGTAAGGTGCATATAAAAAAGTAAAAAAAATGTTTAAAATTTTAAAAATATTCACTAAAAATAGAAAAATACGAAAACCAAAAAACTCAATTTTCAAAAAATTTAATCCAAAAAACTCAAACCAAACACACTGATTATCATTTTCACATTATTTAATTTTTTGGGAGGTCAGAAATAAATTTTAAAATATTTTTTTAATATTTATTTTTATCAAATTAGTTTCTATTTTTTCGAAAAAAAATGTTGAATTTTTTTTCTAAAAAAGAAACCAAACAATTACATTGATTTTTGCAAGTACATTTGCTGAAAAATATAAGATGTATTTAAAATTTTGAATTTAAGAGATGCTTTTTTTTTTTTTTCCCACAAAAAAAAACTATTGTCACTGAAATAGAGTGATAACAATATATACATCTTGGCCACCAATTCCTAATATAAGGTGGTTAATATAAAAAAATAATGGGTAAATTACAAATAAATTCTTTGAAATTGATTTAAAACACAATTTGCCCATGTGATTTTGGATTTTTTTAATTTCATAACAAATGACCGTTTTTTTAATAAATTATTTAATCGATTAATAGTTTTTAATGATATTAGAAATTTATTTCAATTAATAATTCAGATAATTTTATTATTGTATAATAGAGCCGTTAGGAATTTTATTAATTCTATTAAACAAAAATTTTTGATAAGGAGTATTTGTAATTTTCTAAACCTTAGGGGGTGTATTTGTAATTTATCCTATAATTAAGGGGGTATTTGGAATTATTTAAATAAGTATATTTTTTGACGTTTTACAAAAAAAAAAAAAAATATGGGTTGAATTTAAAGTGATGTGATCTAAATAAGATGATTGTGTGCTATTTTAGCACATGCCAAACATCCCCCAATTATCTAGTTACATTAAGGCCCAGTTTGTTTGGCCGCTTCAATTGCTATGGGTCCCATCCACAGCATGTTTCGTATTGTTTGGGAGGATCAGCTTCACAGTTTGTATGACTTAATAATCCCCCTCAATAGGGGGATTAGCTTAGTTGAGAAACGAGTAAGATTAAGAAAATAGTGAGCAGTTTCAGTCTGTCCGGATGTCCAGTACAGTGCAATTTTTTTAAATTTTTTTTTTTTTACAATCATAACTGGCTGGCCAAAAAAATCCCAAGTGCACCTTTTTTTTTTTTTATACCAACAATCCCAAGTACACCTTTTGTTTTAATATTTATTTAAATTTTTTTTAATATAAAAATAATTTTTTAATTTATTTTATTTAAAAATAATTTAACAATCTCATCATTAACCATCTCACACTATTATCAAAACGCACTTTTACTTAATTCCCTCACTAACAATCCCCACATTAATAATCTTTTCACTAACCATCCCCTCACAACTATTCCCTCCAACCTAATCTACCAAATAAACGTGGCCTAATAATCCTTGGTCTATCACTACGGGCGACATTTGAGACTACATAAAATGAAGTACTCTGTTTGTTTTGACGTAAAATACTCTACTTATTTTTTATTATTTGGTTGAACAAAAGTCAAGAAACATTTTTGAAGGAAATATTTTTTGTATTATTTTTTAAAAATGACCTACTTTTAAAAATTCTGCAAATCAGTTATTAAAAAGTTAACTCACTATATTTTCAACACATCTAACATTTTGAAATAAATATCTTATTTCACTAAAAAATCGTTAATGAGCTAATTTAGTTTTATTTTTTGACTAATTTAATCTGGTTAAATTAGCTCTATTTGAGAAAAACTTTTGACTTTTTTTTATTTAGATATGATGGTTGTGAGAAAAAAGTGAAATAATTATAATTTAGATATGACATTTTGTTTTATTAATTAAATTAATTTATTTTATCTTTTAGTGCTAATTTAACCACTTTACCCCCTCCCAAACAAGACCTTAGTATTTTTGATGTCTACACGTCATTAATTTTGTGGATCTACCTAAAGGGTAAAAACATGAAGGAAAATGTTTCAGTGTGCATTATATAATCCTATCATATAATTATATAAGTTTTTACAAATTTAAATAAATGAAATTATAAGAAATTAATGTTTTAGAGATAAAAATTTAAGAACAAAATTATTTTTTAGAAACAAAATAATTTTGTTGCCAAAAGTGTTATTATTTTATTTTTAGCGATACAATTGGATATTTAGTGATGAATTATTAACATTTTGGAACCAAAAATTTTGTCTCAAAATAAAACTTTTTGGGGATCAAGTTATTTTGTCTCGAAAAATGTATTTATTAGCTACATTTTTTAAAAATTTTGCCACTAAAAATTCAATTTTCAGCATTTCAAAACGACTTTTTAGCGACTGTTCTCGTGACAACTGAATTAATCCCTAAATTTTTTTACAACAAAATTTATACTTTCAGAGACAAAAAACTTGGTCTTTAAAATTATTATATGTTATAATGTGATATCACAAAAATATGTAATTAAATACAAATTCACGTAATTATTATAAAATTACATAAATTTTGATGAACTTAGGTAAGTTATACACAAGTTCATAAAATTTTATGATAAAATTATATACGATATATTTCCCAAACATGAAAGCCCGCTTGTTCTGAGAATCGGGTTGGGGAGATAGTGTTAGTGCAGTTCTTCCATAAAGGAGCACTTGCAGATCTCCTATTTTGTGCGGTCAGTATAGGCCTCTCCCATCCGACTTTCAGCAAGTAGGAACTCTTTTGATTACGCCAGAAAGAATATTACAGTTGATTGCTCTCTCCTACTCTTTTTCAATAACTAAAAAAAAAAATAATGAAATAAATTGAATAGTGTGACTAAAATCTAGTTTAAAACCTGATGCATGTTATATAGATATTATTATTGTTTATAACATCTATTGTTTATATTAGTCTGTCATAAAGAGACGACAGTTAGAAAAATAGACAAGAGGTCTATATATCTATTTGTCTATTTTTCTAAGAAAAAAACTCGGAAAATCACTTAAATTTTATAGAGATATTTACCAATAAATCCCATCTCACAAATAAATATTCCATTTAGTTATAAGTTTTTTCTATTGATCTGTTAAGTCCTATTAGTGGAAAGTTTCTTTCCGTGTATTCCTATTTTTTATTTTGGTAGTGTTTTGGTAGACAGTTATACCATTTTATTAATGTAACAGGTATGATGTGATATCCAATGTGACGGGTATTAATATAATACTCCAACAATATGACACTAAAAAAATTAAAAACTCCTTAGTGTACTTTTTCTAAATGTGACAACGTAACGAGTATAATGTGACACTTCAAAACTTTAACTCAAAAAAAATAATAACACCTTAGTGTACTTTTTTTATACGTGACAACGTAGAAGGTATGATGTGACACTTCAAAAAAAATAAAAACTTCTTAATATACTTTTCTCAAACGTGACAATATGACAGGTATGATGTGACACTTTAAAAAAAATTGATAACTCCTTAGTGTATTTTTTTCAAACGTGACAATGTGGTAGAGACGATGTTACACTCTAAAAAAAATTTAAAATTCCTTAGTATACTTTTTCCAAACGTGACATGTGACACTCCAACGTGGTGAATATGATGTGACACTCTAAAAAAATTAAAAACTATTTACTGTATTTTTCTTAAATGTGACACTCTAATATGGCAAGTATAATGTAACATTAAAATTTTTTAGTATACTTTTTCTAAATATAACACTCCAATGTGGTGGATAAATGAGTCACTATATACATCCAAAAGGACTCAATGGATCACAAAAAATATATATATATGGGACTACATTATATAAGGATATACAATAATATTTTCAAAATAAAAATACATTCCTTTCTTGTTGACTCATCTTCATTGCCTATATATACATACATATTGCAATAGCTAATCCGTACAAGCAACCACTTTCTCATACCAAAAAGAGAGACAAAACAATGGCAAAAGGATTCAAGGTTTTGATCTCCCAAATCATATCATCCTTCCAATTCTGCCGCTCCAAAAACCCTTCCAACTTCCTAGAAAATCCTGTCCCTTCATTCCTCCAACTCTCCCCAAACCCCGTCCTCATTCACTGTCTGCCGGCAACCCCGCCCCCTTTCAAACCCCACTGCTCCTCCTTCAAGCACCACGTGTCCTCCATCTTCTCATCCGTCAGCTGTGGGTTCGGCACACAGTACACCTCTGAAGACGACCTCACCGAATCACCGAAATTCAAGTGGGACAAGACGCCGCATCGCGAAAGCTACAAGAGGATAATACGTTGTGGTGGAGCTGTGGATGATGATATGGCAAACATTATACACTACTAGAAATATGACCTGTTGCATCTATTTTTTTGCGATTAATTGCTTGGCCGTCGCAAAATATTACTTTTTACATCAAGATCTCATTTTAGTTGGAGATGGAGGAGTTGTAGATTTCGTGACGCGACGTCTCGTCCCATTTGAATTTCGGTGATTCGGTGAGGTCAATTTTAAAGGTGTACTATGTGCTGAACCCACAACCGACAGATGAGAAGATAGAGGACACGTGGTGCTTGAAGGAGGAGTGGTGGGGTTTGAAAGGGGGCGAGGTTGCCAGCAGGTAGTCAATGAAGACGGGGTTTGGGGAGAGTTGAAGGAATGAAGGGACAGGATTTTCTGGGAAGTTGGAAGAGTTTTTGGAGCGGCAGAATTGAAAGGATGAGATGATTTCGGAGATCAAAATCTTGAATCCTTTTGGCATTGTTTTGTCTCTTTTTTTTGTATGAGAAAGTGGTTGTGCAATATGTATATATAGGTAATCAAAATGAGTCAACAAGAAAGGAAAATACCATATTTAATATTATTGTATATTTTTATTTTGGAAATATTATTGTATATCCTTATATAATATAAGGAATGTAGTTTTAATAGAATGAATGAAATTATTATGAGTTGGCAGACTTTTCTTGTTAGCATGCCAAGGATGGAATATTCCCAACCATCCCATACACTCCACGAAAATTTATTGACTTGTCATACCTTGACTTTGCACCATTTATATATATATATATATATATATATAAACTTTTCTTGTTATGGGGTTATACCATAAATAAATCTTGATCATTGATTAAAAAATTGGGAGATTGATCAATAAGTTTATTATTTTGGACTTGTAATCCATATAGTTCCATATTTTTTCTTGTGATCCATTTAGTTATTTTGGATGTATAATGACTCATTTGTCTTTTACATTAGAGTGTCACATTTAGAAAAAAATATATTAAAGAGTTTTTTAGTGTTATATCAAACCCGTCACGTTAGAGTGTCAAAAGTTTTTAAGTTTTTTAAAATGTCACATAATATCCGTCACGTTAGAGAATCACGTGTCACGTTTAAAAAAAGTACACTAAGGAATTGTTAATTTTTTGGAGTATCACATCATAATTTTTAATTTTTTTGAAGTGTAACATCATACTCGTTATATTGAAGTATCACATGTTATATTTGAAAAAAATATATTAAAGAATCTTTAATTTTTTTTAAAGTGTCACGCCATATCCACTACATTATCACATTTAAAAACATACACTAATTTTTTTTTTAATTATCACATCAAACTCGTTATGTCATGAGATCTCAAAATTTGTACACCAAGACTTTATTAGTCGACCATATACCCGTTCGATGGAGCAGGTCTTGTCAATTAAAATAAAATAATTACATGCTCACTTAAATGAGTGTGCGGTGTTGTCACGGAGCTTGGGGCGTGACATGTGCAGTTCAAGTGTGTTCTTATTTACAAATAAAATATGTTTGTTTTCATTAGTGGATGACATTGGCTTAAGATATTGTTGCATATCTTTATCTATAAGCAAATATCATTTGCACAAGAAAGGTACTATAAGTATGTTTTGTGCAACATGAATTTTTTTCTTCCAAATTTTAGTACTTTGACCAGCTGCGAACTGAGGTGAATAAAGTCCTGGAGGTTGCTCGTACCAAGAAGTTGATTGGTTCTCTAGTCTAGAAGCAAAGGTCCATCTTCACACCTTGGATGACAGCTTGGCCACAAAATTAAATGAGATGTGTGAAGTCAAATTTAAATAATGCCGTGCAACTCAAATCTACTAGTCCATTTGCCTTATCCCTCTGCTGTCAGGTAATTTATGTTTGGTTTGATTTTCAATTTTTTTTTTTTTTTGAAAAATTAAAAATTAATTTGATGAAAGAAAAATTAAATAAAAAACAATTCACTTTCCTTGGTTCCACTTTTCCAAAAACACTTTTAAGAAAATTCTACTTTCTTTTTTTTGTGTTTTTTTTGTTTTTATTGAATTTTTTTAATATTTTAAGCAATTAAAAAGTAAAAAAATTTGTGAAAAAAATCTTTTAAAAATTCACTAAATACCAAAAAAAAAAACGAGAATTTAGTACATTTGTTATATTTTTATGTATTTATTAATTTTTTAAAATATTTTTTCACAATTTTTTTAATTTTTAGATACATTTAAGTAAGGTGCATATAAAAAAGTAAAAAAAATGTTTAAAATTTTAAAAATATTGACTAAAAACAGAAAAACACGAAAACCAAAAAACTCAATTTTCAAAAAATTTATTCCAAAAAACTCAAACCAAACACACTGATTATCATTTTCACATTATTTAATTTTTTGGGAGGTCAGAAATAAATTTTAAAATATTTTTTTAATATTTGTTTTTATCAAATTAGTTTCTATTTTTTCGAAAAAAATGTTGAATTTTTTTTCTAAAAAAGAAACCAAACAATTACATTGATTTTTGCAAGTACATTTGCTGAAAAATATAAGATGTATTTAAAATTTTGAATTTAAGAGATGCTTTTTTTTTTTTTTCCCACAAAGAAAAACTATTGTCACTGAAATAGAGTGATAACAATATATACATCTTGGCGGCCAATTCCTAATATAAGGTGGTTAATATAAAAAAATAATGGGTAAATTACAAATAAATTCTTTGAAATTGATTTAAAACATGATTTGCCCATGTGATTTTGGATTTTTTAATTTCATAACAAATGACCGTTTTTTTAATAAATTATTTAGTCGATTAATAGTTTTTAATGATATTAGAAATTTATTTCAATTAATAATTCAGATAATTTTATTATTGTATAATAGAGCCATTAGGAATTTTATTTTTTCAGTTAATTCTATTAAATAAATTTTTTTGATAAGGAGTATTTGTAATTTTCTAAACCTTAGGGGGTGTATTTGTAATTTATCCTATAATTAAGGGGGTATTTAGAATTATTTAAATAAGTATACTTTTTGACTTTTTACAACAACAAAAAATGAAATATGGGTTGAATTTGAAGTGATGTGATCCAAATAAGATGATTGTGTGCTATTTTAGCACATGCCAAACATCCCCCAATTATCTAGTTACATTAAGGCCCAGTTTGTTTGGCCGCTTCAATTGCTATGGGTCCCATCCACAGCATGTTTCGTATTGTTTGGGAGGATCGGCTTCACAGTCTGTATGACTTAGTAATCCCTCTCAATAGGGGGATTAGCTTAGTTGAGAAACGAGTAGGATTAAGAAAATAGTGAGCAGTTTCAGTCTGTCCGGATGTCCAGTACAGTGCAATTTTTTTAATTTTTTTTTTTTTTTTACAATCATAGCTATCTGGCCAAAAAAATCCCAAGTGCACCTTTTTTTTTTTATACCAACAATCCCAAGTACACCTTTTGTTTTAATATTTATTTAAATTTTTTTAATATAAAAATAATTTTTTAATTTATTTTATTTAAAAATAATTTAACAATCTCATCATTAACCATCTCTCACACTATTATCAAAACGCACTTTTACTTAATTCTCTCACTAACAATCCCCACATCAATAATCTTTTTACTAACCATCCCCTCACAACTATTCCCTCCAACCTAATCTGTCAAACAAACGTGGCCTAATAGTCCTTGGTCTATCACTACGGGCGACATTTGAGACTACATAAAATGAAGTCCTCTGTTTGTTTTGACTTAAAATACTCTACTTATTTTTTATTATTTGGTTGAACAAAAGTCAAGAAACCTTTTTGAAGGAAATATTTTTTGTATTATTTTTTAAAAATGACCCACTTTTAAAAATTCTGCAAGTCAGTTATTAAAAAGTTAACTCACTATATTATCAACACATCTAACATTTTGAAATAAATATCTTATTTCACTAAAAAATCGTTAATGAGCTAATTTAGTTTTATTTTTTGGCTTTTTGACTAATTTAATCTGGCTAAATTAGCTCTATTTGAGAAGAACTTTTGACTTTTTTTTATTTGGATATGATGGTTGTGAGAAAAAAGTGAAATAATTATAATTTAGATATGACATTTTGTTTTATTAATTAAATTAATTTATTTTATCTTTTAGTGCTAATTTAACCACTTTACCCCCTTCCAAACAAGACCTTAGTATTTTTTATGTCCACACGTCATTAATTTTGTGGATCTACCTAAAGGGTAAAAACATGAAGGAAAATGTTTCGATGTGCATTATATAATCCTATCATAAAATTATATAAGTTTTTACAAATTTAAATAAATGAAATTATAAGAAATTAAGGTTTTATAGATAAAAATTTAAGAACAAAATTATTTTTTAGAAACAAAATAATTTTGTTGCCAAAAGTGTTATTATTTTATTTTTAGCAATACAATTGGATATTTAGTGATGAATTATTAACATTTTGGAACCAAAAATTTTGTCTCAAAATAAAACTTTTTTGAGATCAAGTTATTTTGTCTCGAAAAGTGTATTTATTAGCTACATTTTTAAAATTTTGCCACTAAAAATTTAATTTTTGACTTTTCAAGACGACTTTTTAGCGACTGTTCTCGTGATAACTGAATTAATCCCTAAATTTTTTTACAACAAAATTTATACTTTCAGAGACAAAAAGCTTGGTCTTTAAAATTATTATATGTTATAATGTGATATCACAAAAATATGTAATTGAATACAAATTCGCGTAATTATTATAAAATTACATAAATTTTGATGAACTTAGGTAAGTTATACACAAATTCATAAAATTTTATGATAAAATTATTACGATATATTTCCCAAACATGAAAGCCCGCTTGTTCTGAGAATCGGGTTGGGGTGATAGTGTTAGTCCAATTCTTCCATAAAGGAGCACTTGCAGATCTCCTATTTTGTGCGGTCAGTATAGGCCTCTCCCATCCGACTTTCAGCAAGTAGGAACTCTTTCGATTACGCCAGAAAGAATATTACAATTGATTGCTCTCTCCTACTCTTTTTCAATAACTAAAAAAAATAAATAATGAAATAAATTGAATAGTGTGACTAAAATCTAGTTTAAAACATGATGCATGTTATATAGATATTATTATTGTTTATAACATCTATTGTTTATATTAGTCTGTCATAAAGAGACGACAGTTAGAAAAATAGACAAGAGGTCTATATATCTATTTGTCTATTTTTCTAAGAAAAAAACTCATAAAATTACTTAAATTTTATAGGGATATTTACTAATAAATCCCATCTCACAAACAAGTATTCCATTTAGTTATAAGTTTTTTCTATTGATCTGTTAAGTCCTATTAGTGAAAAGTTTCTTTCCGTGTATTCCTATTTTTTATTTTGGTAGTGTTTTGGTAGACAGTTATACCCTTTTATTAATGTGACAGGTATGATGTGATATCCAATGTGACATGTATTAATATAACACTCCAACAATGTGACACTCTAAAAAAAA